AGAACTTTTCATTTATTAAGGTGGGCTTTAAAAAGTTAGAATCTTTCTCTCCACTCAAATGTAAACTCTGTGAAGACAAGAACCATGTTCATTTTGTTGATTGGTATGTCTGGCATCAGGCTTGGCCTGTAACACATTTTGTTGAATGAAAGAGTACAAGCGGCTTATTGCGGTTTCAATACATTGCTCATCTTGAAATAAGCTTAGTAAAACCTTATTTCTTCCTTATTGACAGTAATTCAAAAACGTTATTTAGAAAAATATCTTAAATTCGTCTTATCTTTCAAAAAGAGATTTTAAGTGAGAGAAGGCAACAGTGGATCTCTGCACATTTGAAACCTGTTTGTGACAATGGACAAAAGCCTGCTGGTCCTAAGAAAGGAATGTGAGTGAACTCTGCAGAAGATGGGAGCTGGGATGTCTGAGGAGAAGCAGGAGCAGGAAGACAACTAGCAAAAGAATTGCATTAATTTCAGAAATGGAAAAGTTTATTGGAAGCATTTTTCAAAACCCTTCAGAAGCTAGTAAAATAATATTTTACTATGTTTTCTCAAGCTCTTAAAACTTCACAAATGCAATGCATGATAAAATGTGAAAATAAGTATTGGCAACTAATTATATTCTCGGGGGAGATTTAATTGAAAAGGGAGCATATTTGCGCTATTTCTCCGCAGCTTGATGTTTATGGCGTCTGGACAAAGTAGGACGAACATTTGAAAATCCTGACATAACTGGTATTTAAAGAATAGCAATTGGCTAACATTTGTGGCTCTGTATGTTGAATATTTTGGCTCCCGTCTTCTGGTATTCATTCTGAAAGATTTATAATCCTTTAGGGAGTGTGGTCAGTGACAAGAGTAGAACTAAATCCTGAAATGTGGAAAAACTAACTTTTCCTAATATAAAACTGTTCTAAAAAAATCCCTCAAGCTTATGAATATGTTTCCAGATTTTCAGAAAAAGCCGATTTACAAAATTTTTTTTCTATGAGGATCTCACTTCTTAATGATAAATGTAAATAGTTTTTTTTTTGACCTTAAAATATCCCTGAAATAGATATTTCAGAGAAATATAAACTCTTACCTTTTGGACATCAGCTGCAATGAGGCGACTTTTTAAAAAATGTATGTGATTGGTTATAGGGTAAAAAATGAAATAAAGCTCAAAAATACAAGTAGTCCAGACAACAAAAATTAAGACAACTTGAAATAAGAAACAAAGATTTTGCTGAGTGCATAAGCAGAAAATTACTACCAAAGTAAATATTATAAAGCAAGAATAACAGTCAAGAGAATCCTTGATCATGCACAACTGAGAATATCCAGACGATGCTTTCTTCTCTGAAAAAGTCCTGGGATGGGAGAAGGCTCTGGGTTTGACTGAAGCATGACAGGCTGCCCCAGGTCTCTGTTTGCTTCCTAGTCATGCTCAAGACCAGAACGCTGTGCCCAAGGATCTCCCTCTCTCCCAAGCTCTGAGTTTGGATTTTCAAACTCTTAATAAAGGACCCCAGCTGAATTCCTTCTGAAACCCCCCCAGGGAATTTTCTGCCTCCTTTTAACCATTTAAATTTGGAGAAAGAGCCTTGTTGAAAGAATCCTTTTTTTCCTTACTTTTTTTGCTTATTCTTTTTGTGTCATTTCATTTTCGTTAATTAATTATGTGCATTATACTTTAAGGTTTACAAAATATCAGACTTCTGTTTTTCAGTCAAAGAAAAGAAAAACACTGCGTGTGTTCTTCTCATACCCCCAAATAAGGGAGTTGTAACTTGACTAATAGTGGATTTATTATTTTATATTTTAAAACCAACTATGGAAAATGGTGTTGGTGACATTTTTCTTGATAGTAAGAAGAAAAAGACACTAAAAGCTATAAAAGGTAACTTATTTTAAATGTAAATAATAAAAGTTAAGGTTCTTGTTATTTTAAACTCAATCTTAAATATAAGGACAAGCCTGGTTTACCCATAGGGAGAATAAGTATGAAAAATAGACATTGTTCATGACATCGCCTCAGGACATGTGTTCATAACATTTCTAGAGAAGTGGAAGGAATTTTCTTAAAAGGAGTCAGAAAAAGGCTGAAGTCTAAACCTTTCCTTCTTTTTTTTTTTGGTTCTGATGTTTGAGCCGGGGGCACTCTACTTTTGAGCTGCATTCTCAGCATTTTTTCTTTTCTTTGTTTTATTTTGTTTTATGTTGTTTTGTTTGTTTTGAGACAGAGTCTTGCTAAGTTGTCAAGGCTGGTGTTGAACTTATGATCCTCCCCACTCAGCCTCTCAAGTTGCTGGGATTACAGGGTGTATCATCATACCTAGGTCCTTCACTGTATACCCTGTAATAATCCCATTTCAGTTTCTTATTTTAGCAGTAATATATTGTATTGAATTTGCAAGAAGATTTGCATATGTGTGCATGTGTGACTTAAAGGAAGATGGGGTTTGGCAGTCTGTAAGTAATTTCTAGTTTCTTTGCTAAGCCATATATATAAATACAAATATATATATATATATATATATATACACACACACATACATATATATAATCAACTTTTAAAACTTTCTATGATATATTTTAAAATGCTAACAAGAAAGAAATTATATAATATATAGAACTACATATTTCAATATATAAGTATATAATGTTTATGTATTTTCTCCGTATGTCAGCCCATTTTCTGATGCTTTAAGAGAATATGGCTGGGTGAAGTGGCACACACATGTAATCCTAGTGGCTCGGGAGGTTGAGGCAGGAGGATCGAAGCCAGCCTCAGCAAAAGCGAGGTGCTAAGCAACTAGTGAGACCCTGTCTCTAAATAAAAAACAAAATGGGGCTGGGGATGTGGCTCAGTGGATGAGTGCCTCTGAGTTCAAACAGTACCCTCCCCTCCACCAAAAAAAAAAAAAAAAAAAAAGAGAGAGAGAGAGAGAATATGAAGATGGGGTAACTTATAAAGAAAAGATATTTATCTCTCACAGTTCTAAGGAGGCTTGGAAGTCCAATATCAAGGGCTGGCATCTGGTGAGGGCCTTCTTGCTGTTTGAGCCTCGAATGGCAGACTACATCAATCACATGGCAAGAGGGCATGTATGAGAGAAAGAGAGCAAGAGAGAGATCTCTTTTATAACAAAGCCACTCCTGGGAAGCTTAATCCACTCTGGGATAGTGGAATCAATCCTTTTGTGAAGGCAGAGGGCCCTCAAGACTTAATCGTTTCTAACACCATGATAATGGCAATTCAATTTTAACAGAGTTTAGGAGGGAGCATTCAAATCATGGATGAATATTATGTAATGGCAACATTAAATGAAATGAAAACAGATAATTCAAAGGTATTTTCCTTTAAAAAAAAAAAGAGGGATTTTAGACCATTGGTATTGTTTTGAAGCACGAACCAAAAGCTGTCTTTTATGAACATCTTTTATAAAAATAGTTTCTTAGCAACAGAAATGCAGCTTTTGTGTCTTACCAGTCATTTTGGTGCTTGTGCTGGAACTTAAATTAGCCAGTCTCAGTGGCAGTAGGAGTGGCATGCACTAGGCCATGTTCTTTAGGTTTTCAAAGCGGTAATGACCAGTGGACCTTCCTTGAGATTCTTGTAGTGAATTCTGATTTTAATTTCCTGGCAGGTCTGTTTGACAATCATTAAAAATGTTTAGTCTCTCAGATTAGTTTTAATTAAAAGAATAGCTCACCACTAGTCTTCACATGTGGTGATGAGTCAGTGGATGTCCACTCCATCGGTTCTCTGTGTTGGGCCAGCAGGTCACTCACGGGCTTTCTTTTCCCCCTTCATCCTGCCCCTCCCACCCATCTGCAGGTCTTACTGGAACTGCTTTCTCCTTCCCCAAAGGCCTCACTCTCCTCCTTTAGGTCCCGTCTCAGTTGCTCTGCTGCCTTCCACACCTTTCTCCAGACTTTCTGTTCCCTGTACACCTATGCAGGAAAAAAACATGCCACGTGCTTTCCTGCCACATGAGTCAACCCAGAAGACTTCTGTGACCTCAGAAGGTGTAGGAACTTCTCCCCACCAACGGGCAACCAATCCTGCAGCAGCAAGCACCAGATGGATGTCTTCTCATCTCTAATTCAATTCTGTTCTGACACACTCTGCCTGGAGATAGCTTCAGATCCCTCAGGTTGAGGGCTCAGTCCTCATGGATGTCTGCTAACTGTCCTTGCAGCCACCAATCGAGGAGTGGACTGTGGATCAAGCACAGGGACTGCAACACATGGCCTCATGCCCAGGGCTGTTCCTATGGGGTAAATGGTTTGCTGCTCACAGGCCTAGCATGAGGGGAGTGGCCTGCCACTCAGACACCCTTAATGCATGCTATGTACCTGTCCCCACACCTCTCTAGAGGCTAATGGGTTGGAACTAAAAATTTCAACTTTTAATGTCACCTTGATCTTTCTGGTGATGGGCTCCCATCCTGAAGCTGAGTAGGGGGGGCCAGCATCAGTCAACTTCAGCATATAAAATATACTTACCACTTTGAAGATTATACAGATTTTAGGTGTCATATGCCATAAACAGGAACAAAGTCCAAATATATATATTTCACAGCACCATGTCTGTAGGAATCATTTTCAAACTTGGGTTGCTCTGCACAAAACACTGTTCAGGAACTGGGGTTCCCTCTCTTAACACTGCATACAACTTCCCTTCCTCAGTTGCTCTCTTCAGGCATGCCCCTTGCCTCTCTTTAACGTATTAATATTACCTAATGTTATAGCTGTTTAAAGGAGACAGACCACCTTTAAATGTTGACTCTTAATTAGAATAACATTTTATGATGCTCTGTACAGCTTTTTCATGCTTCAACTTGACATGATTCATTAAACAAATTACAGCCCCACTCAGAGAACTTAAAAAAAAAGATTAATGTGCTATGTATGGGGAGACATATTTCCTAGTTCATGGATTTGTAACCATTTGGTCTATTTCTATGGGAACATAGTTTTATTTAACCTTTCTGTGGCTTTGTATCTTCCTAGGGAGGAAATCAGACTGCAACAGTGATTGCTTTGTGTTCAATGAAGGATTTCAATTTAGCTCAAGAGACCTGTCAACTGGCCATCAGAGATGTTGGAGGCCTTGAAGTTTTAATAAATTTGCTTGATACAGATGAAGTCAAATGTAAGGTGAGTGGCTTTTTCACAATGGTTGAGAATTCTTGGACCCAATTCTCATGGCTTTCTTTGAAACTGTAGGAAGCTGAACGTTTCTTATCTTTTTTTTTAATATTTATTTTTTAGCTGTATTTGAACACAATACCTTTGTTTTATTTATTTATTTTTTTTTTTGTGGTACTAAGGATCGAACCCAGGGCCTTGCACTACCATGGAGCCCCAGCCCTAGCCCCTATTTATTATCTTTATCTGCTATTTTTGCTCATAACCTGCTTTTTCTATTAGGTGTGCTCTCTCCTCCCTGCTTTTTCTTCTTTCTCTTGCTTTATCTGGAACCATGAATGTTTGTTTGCATAAATGAAGAGAAATAGGAGGATATGTGTTACCCCTGGGAATGGAAACTATTTTTTAAAAAAACTTGATTGGGGAAGGATTTTAGATAGACTTAAATTTTCTTAAACATAGCTCTGGTTATGTATTAAGCGCTCATTCATCTATCACTTTTTTCCCATGTAGATTGGTTCATTAAAAATCCTGAAGGAAATCAGTCATAATCCTCAAATCAGACGTAATATTGTTGACCTTGGTGGCTTACCAATTATGGTTAGTATACTTGATTCTTCATACAAGAGTCTGAAGTGTTTGGCAGCTGAGACCATTGCAAACGTTGCCAAGTTTAAGAGAGCCCGGCGGGCTGTGAGACAGCATGGCGGTATCAACAAGCTGGTGAGTACCACTGACATCCTCAGGGCACAAGAGCTGCCACCCATTGCCTCCTGCCTTTCTGGCCACTCCAGACATCAAGTAGCTATAAAGGCATGCTATGGGAGTCTTCTTTGTATATCATATATGTCCTTAATAATTACTTTTGTATGTTTGCATTATCAAGCATGTTAAATCTCATTTTTTGAAAGAAACAGAAAAAATTTAAAGCAGGCGTGATTGCCACCGATATCATTGGTAGGGATCCATTTGTGCATAAGAGCAGAGATGGTAAGAGATGGTAAGACCTGTATGATGGAAAGCAGGCTGGAAGCCCTGGCCTCCAGTGTGCTTACTGAAAATACTCTTTCATAGAGAAGGTCAGGTTAGATCGAAATGTGAGACTAAAAACAGCCCAGTCTTTAAGAACATTCAAGAGTAAAACAATGTGTAGGATATCCATGGGAAACATCTGTAGTCAGCCATCAGTACTGTGTTTCAGAAAACTACTTAGTAAAATGAATAAAATGTATATTATATTATATAAAGTCATAACAGGATAACAGTTTTTAACAGTTGATGTTTATGACCTCAATTTTCTTTTTCATTACTGGGGATAGAACCCAGGGCATTCTACCACTGACCTACACCCCCCAATCCTTTGTATTTTTATTTTGATACAAGTTTTTTTTCCTAAGTTGCCCAGCCTGACCTTGAATTCATAATATCCTCCTGCCTCAGTCTCCCAAGGAGCTGGGATTGCAGATGTGTGCCACCACGCTCAGCTCTGATCCCAACTTTTAGAGAGCTACCCACAAGCATATATAAATACATATGCAAAATTAGAAGTGGATCCACAAGTTGTTGACAGGGTTTTCTCTGAAATGATTACTGATTTTTTGATAGAAAAAATGTTTTTCAACATTTGTCTTCTATGAATGTCCTACTTTTATAATAAGGATAAAATGATTATTTCAATAGCTGCCATCAAAAGAAAAGAATATATCAGCATTCTGCTCATAAGCTTTGCCATGTTGGCAAGGACCTTAAAAATGTACATGTAGCCAGGCACGGTGGTACATGCCAGTGATCCCGGAGACTTAGGAGGCTGCATCAGGAAGATCACAATTTCGAGTCTGGCCTTAGGAAATCAGGGAAAACTTGTCTCTAAATAAATAAATAAATAACTGCCTGAGGAAGTAGCTCAGTGGTAGAGCATCCCTGAATTCAATCCACAGCACCAAAATAGATCAATAAATAAAGTAAGTAAGCACAATGTGGAAATATGTTTTCATACTCCATAGTAAGGATCAATATATACTGGGTCTCTTCCACAGCTTTTATCTTTCTTTATTGTCTCCATTTCTTCACCTTAAGTTCTTTAACATATCTTAGTGCCTTTCACAGCATTGGGCCACTACCTTACACAAAGGGTTAATATTTATTGGATGAATATGGATTTTGATGTTAATACGTATAATGAGAAGTGTATTCAGAAATTTACTGAGATCTTCTGTGTTATCAATTGTCATTGCAAAGTACTTATAAAATATAATTATTTGCTTCAAAATGAGATAGACATGTTTGCATAGGTAGATGAATACATATGTGATAAAACATGTACAGCAGATTTTATAGACTCTAGGTGGTGGAAATATGAATATTTATTGTGCAATCACTGTACAATTCTATTAGTTTTTCTTTGAAAAAAATTTATAATTAAATGTTGAGAGAAATGTAATCATTACTATGATTATTATTATTTTGCTTAAATATTGAAATCATATGGTAGATTGATGTGGTTGTTGACTGGAACTGCTTCCATTAAATCATATGAATGAATAATGCAAAATAAAACTGAAACATGTTTTTTGAGAGTTTTCTATATCACATTTGGGGAACTGGTATTTCAACAATTGTACTTACCCAATCAAGATAATAGCACACATTTTAATATAATTTTAAATGATAGCTAAATTGGAAACAGGAATGACCAAGAATGGATAGACTAAGAATAATAGACTTGCAATTGCTGGGTTGAGAATACACCTGGAAAAGATTAGGATTTAGGATCTACTTTTTGGTTTGCAAGGCATGGGGAAGGAGTACTAGGTAACTCATAGATAATGTCCTAACCAAAACAGGAAGTGAGCAAGATGACTCGAAACAGAAGTGTACCGTGGCTGGTTATGGCCTCAGAGTAAGGGCCCCAAGGCTACAGTAAGAGCCAGTTGGGTGGTACTGGCCATGGTGTGTTTTGGGTACCAGATGGAGGTCATTTTCTGGAGACTGGGCAACAAATGACAGGGTAAAAGACACAAAGTCTGAGCAAACAGGGAGAATGCATCTATCTAGGGAAACATTACCAGGTCTAAGTGATGATTATATGGACCCACCAGTGCTGTCAGTACCAAGGCCTGTTTCCATGTTCTTTTTACCTTTTTAGTTGTCGGGTTTCTGTTCTGGAGACTAAAAGGCTCAGGGGTCACTCCAGGTAAAATAACCACACAAGAGACACAAATACCTTTTTCTTTGGGGTCACTGTGATGGCTCCTCTGACCTTAAGGGTCTTCAGAAAGAGAGAGAATGAGAGCATGCCCTGATCCCTTTTATTGAGGAGAAGCTATTCAAATGAGGCAAGGGGTCAGGTTTCAGGGGGCTGAGTCTATCTTCATGATGTCCACTGTCAGCAGGTTGATTGACACCTGGGTAGGCCACACCCTAGGGCACAGTAAGAGAAGGGGACACACACAAGGCACTTTCATGGAAGATTCTATCCTAAACAGGGCAAGGGGTTATATTACAAAGGAACAGGTGAGCATGGCTCCTCCCATGGGGCTGTAGCAAGACACACCCATGCACGAGACACTGACTGTCGGACCCAAGAAGGGTGCTACATTTCTGCAACTGAGTGCCTCAGCACCCAGCTGGGGAGTGTAACCCAGTCACGTGTAAGGATGGTCTCCCACATTTAGTAGCAAACATTCCTGACAATTCCTAAGTGCAGTGTGGAGGCAGGTAAAGAATCAGGTAGTGGGAAAAGAAATGAATGTACTTCCTTGACCTTAGTGATGTCACAATCTAATGGAGGTAAAGAGTATGGGGGTAGGTAGGATATAGATGAAACTATAAGACTTATGGTGAGCTTCAGCTATTTAACTGAAGCCAGTACAGGGAATGGTGGAGGAACAAAGGAGGGGGATGGTCAGTTGAAGAGGGGAGATGTTGCTTACCAAGGTTTGGGGAGGTAAGTTTTGTCAGGCACACCTGCTGGGGAAAGGCATTTCAGGAAGATAAGGAATGTTGGTAAAGATCCAGAGCTAAGAAACATCATTGAGTAGAAATTGCAAGTGACTTAATGTGGCCAGAGTCAAGGTGAGATGAGTCAACTAGCAAGATAAAGGTGGAAGGCCATGTGCTCACTCAGGGCTTTATTCAGTGAGTTAGAGTTTGGACTTCATTGTGATAATGAGGGAATAGCTGTAGTAGAAAGGTACTCTTATGCTGTCTGCCTTGTGTTCAGTCCCATTGTCTTAGAATTCCTTTCCTGCATTACTACCCCATTGGTAGTCTGTAGTTAGAAACCATGTGAACATTCCCTCCCTTTGCTGGCCTCTGTCTTTCCTTAAGCCATTTGTTATGAGACTGTAACTGTCTACTCATGCTAGTCCCAGGAATTTGGAATTGGGATTGAGAGACTCTACTTAGTCTGGGTTACTCCTTTCTAAATTTAGGATGAAGGGCAGCATGAATAGGTGGGCTGTATCCAAGGCATTTGACCAATAGACAAAGAAGAATGGAGTAGATGATGGCACCAGTGTCCTCAGATAAAGATGGTGAGCCCAGAGAATGGCAGAATAGCTTCTTATTGTGGTTCCAGTCACAGCTCTGGGAGGTCTGGCTTCACTTTCTCCCAGAGGCAATCTGAACTACTGCTGTATCCTTTTAATAAATTGCCTTTTCCTTAAGGTCTTCAGTGACTTTGATTATTACAAAGGACAAGGAGGATGCTGGCAGCTGTGCCGTTTGGTTTTGGTAACCCACGTAGAAGGCTGTGTGCTTCCTAAAGTTCTCATGGTATTAAGTGTGTTTAGATCATTCATTTCTCATTAGAAAGCTCTAATGGTTTTAGGAAGCTTAGTTTTCTGAGGTACAAGAAAGACTGAGAATATTTTTTACAAATATTATTAATATAAATATTAGAGCCATATTTAGAAAAATACTGTCTTGGTGAGATTTTTTTTTTTGTCAGAAGAAAATAAAAGAGTTTCCAAATCTGGAGGAAAATGTCTTGAAGGGTTTTTGTTTGTTTCTTTATTTTCACTGGTTGCTGTGTAGTGTAAATGTTGATTTTTAAATGGTGATGATGGAGGTGAGCTTGGTAGCAACCTCGTGGCTATTGAATGGTGAATTAAGTTTTAAAGACATCCAAGTTCATTGCATTCATCTCTTCTTGTAGGTTGCTTTACTAGACTGTGCACAGAATTCAACAGAACCAGCTCAATCAAGTCTGTATGAAACCAGAGATGTGGAAGTGGCTCGCTGTGGGGCTTTGGCACTGTGGAGCTGCAGTAAGAGTCATTCAAATAAAGAAGCCATTCGTAAAGCAGGGGGCATCCCTTTGCTGGCTCAGTTACTGAAGACTTCTCATGAAAATATGTTAATTCCAGTAGTGGGGACACTGCAAGAATGTGCATCAGAGGTACACAAACCAATTCTGCTTCCTTTTTTTTTTCTTACCTTGACTTTTTTTAGTTAAAAATAATAATTTTTAAGATTACATAGCTGTTTAGGATTTTTTTTTCAAAATATTAGCTTTCTATTAGAAAAAAGATCAAACTTCAATGTTGGATAATTCTCTTATGGTATAGCTATGTTCAACTTTGACTTCAGTGTTTATTTACTTAGAAAGTTTGCTCATCATAGTTATTAATAAATGTAAATGGCTAATTATATTCATGCATTTTATACACATAAATATTTAAGCTCATATTCCTAGGAAAACTACCGAGCTGCAATCAAAGCTGAAAAGATCATTGAAAACCTAGTGAAGAATCTAAATAGTGAGAATGAGCAATTGCAGGAGCACTGTGCCATGGCCATTTACCAGGTAGGAGCCTACTCTTCTGCCTCTATTGGTGTTCTTTCTCATCTAGCTCAAAGGAATATTTCTAATTGTTTCTAAACACATGACCCTTCTCTGGGAAGGGGACTCAGAAATCTGAATTTTAAGAAAGCATCTCAGAGATTTTCATCCCTGAATAGGTCTGAGAACCATTGTGTTGCCATAATGGTAGATACTGTATTTGTTGTATATGTCAGATATAAACATGCTTGAATATATCTGATTACTTATATTTCTATAAGACATATATATTGCCTGGTGTGGTGGCACATGCCTGTAATCCCAGTGGCTTGGGAGGCTGAGGCAGGAGGATTATGAGTTCAAAGCCAGCTTCAGCAATGAGTTGCATAGTTGCAACTCAGTGAGAACCTATCTCTAAATAAAATACAAAATAGGGCTGGGGATGTGGCTCAGTGGTTAAGTGCCCCTGAGTTCAACTCCTATACCCCCACCCAAAAGGACACATATATCTGTGTTTTCTAAAACAATTTATTTAGCATATAATCCTATATTGCTTTTTGCATGGCCTATTCAAACACAGTAATCTTGAGAAATTTATCACTATCAAACAAGATGGGGTGTGTGTGTGTGTGTGTGTAAGTGTGTGCCTGTTTTATCTTTTCATAATTTTCATTATTTTTTGTAAATTATAATATTCATAGTCTATCATAAAACAGAATGATAAAGAGGAAAAGAAGGCCTTGACATTTAAATGAGATTCTGGCTCATTCCTGACCACACCAGCTTCTACCCACCCAGAGCAGACTTCCTAGAGGAAGATACCCAGGACTCCTTTCAGTAGGGGATTAGATTCGTTTCCTAGGGCTGTATAACAAAGTACCATGGACTGGATGGCTTTACAGAAATTTATCTCCTCACAGTTCTGTAGGCTGCAAGTCTGAGATCAGGGTATCAGCAGGGTTGGTTTCCTCTAAGGTCTCCCTCCCAGGCTTGAGTAAGTGGCTAATAGATGGCCATCTTCATTTTCCCCGTGTCTTCATGTGATGTTTCCTTTGTGTGTATGCCTGTGTCAATCTTTTCTTACTGGGAGAACATCCTATTGGATTGCACCAATCCCGATGATCTAATTTAGCTTTAATTACCTCTTTAAAGACCCTGTCTCCATATACAGTCACATCCTGAGGTACTGAGAGGACATTGACATGTGACACAATTCAGCCCATAACAAGGATTTATGACCTTGACTTATACATATCTCTCATATGAGAAGCCATTAAGAGTTGTTTCGAAATTGTGACTATTTTTTAAAATTTGCCACTGAATGAGAATCAGAAATCATACTCAGAAGATAAACATAGCAAGTGTAACTCTATGGGGCATTATGGTGAGGATCTCTTCTAGTGGCCCTCATTGATGACACACAACATACCTCTACTTTGCCTAGCATCAGAAAACAATTGTATGCTTAGGATAAAAGGCAAATCAATCAAGAATGCCTCATGTGTTGGCTCTTTAATCTGAGAATAATAATCAGTTGGATATATTTATATAGTCAATATTTATTCCAGAGGATGAAACAAACATGAACAAATATTTGAATAAAATGTCAGGTACTATTGATAAAATCCACTGCTCTGAGCACAGAAACTCGACTGAGAAAATTCTTTGTCTTCAGGTTTCAAGGGTCATTCAAGGTCTGACTACCTCCCTGTCATTTGTCTGTCTTCTCCACTATATTTTCCTAAAACCCTGGGTGTCTCACTGTAGACATCCTTCTCCAAGAATGGGAGTATTCTATTTTTTTCTTACTGAACTTTGCCTCTGGCTCTGTAGATGCCCAGGCTACTCCAAATTGGCTTGGGAGAATTGCCAAGTTGTAAAAACTGCTGTGCATTCCCAGAACCATGTAAGGGGAGAGAGATATCATCAGATAGCTGTTGGTGTTGGGGAAGAATTATTAAATTTTGCTTGGATACATCTTGATACTTTGTGAAAAGAAGTTTCATAGTTTCTATGCTCTTTGATTTATGATGGAATTATATCCCGATAACCCAATGATAAGTTGAAAATATTGATGTGTGTTGAAAACAACTAATTTACTGAACATCACAGTTTAGCAACATAGTCTCCTGTAGCATATTGGTTGTCCGCTATCTTAATTGTGTGAATGATTGAAAGATTCAGCTCACTATTGCTGTCCAGCATCACAGAGTATTATACTGCAGATCAGTAATCCGGGAAAGATAAAAATTGAAAATTTGAAGTAAGGATTCTACTGGGTACATACCACTTTCATGCCACCCTGAAGTTGAAAAATCATAAGTTGACGACCAGCCTTGCCAGCAATCATTGATTGCTGGAGAGACATTATATCACTGATAGACTCTCATTTGACTTTTTGTATAGTGTGCTGAAGATGAGGAAACCCGTGACCTGGTGAGGCTCCATGGAGGACTTAAACCGCTGGCCAATCTACTCAATAACACTAAGAATAAAGAATTGTTGGCTGCTGTCACAGGGGCAATATGGAAATGCTCCATCAGCAAAGAGAATGTGATCAAGTAAGAGAAGGCACTCAATATTCTGTAATAAAGATCAGGCCAAGGAATCACATTCTTGGAATTTCAGTGCTATTTTCATAAAGGGGTGGCTCTAATTTATTCAAAATTGCACATTCTGGGTTAAGTTGGTAGCATGAAGGGATCCTTAGAAATAAAGGGTCCTTCTCAATGCGTTACTACAAGACAATGATTGATGTACCTCAGTAGGGCGAAGGGCTTTGCTGGAGTGACCTTTCTGTGTGAATAGGCTGTTTGGTACATGGACAGTCATTTAAATCAGAAGTATCTCTGCTGCTGTTTCCTGCAGAGACCTATCAAGGTGAAGGAATAAATTTCCCAAGGAATCTTTAGAGATGAAAGTGTTTTCATCCTTTTTTCCTGTTCTAAAGATATACAGATGAGTCAGCAGAATGCCAACTAACCACTCCTGGAGTAGTTGTTTTCAAAAGTGATTTCTTTGAAATTTTATTTTGTTATTTCAAAGTGCTTGTAAATTTTTTTATTTATTTTAACCTTCAAATTTAACTCTTTTTGTTTTATATGTTTAGAGTTCACACTCTCAATGAGTATTCTAAGACACCTCCTTCTTGTCTCCATCTGATGAGTTCCTTTAACAGGAAATTCATATGTCCTGACTCAGAATAAACATACTTAGTAAAGAATGTATAGGGAGTTCATAACCCACTTTAATCAAATGTATGAAATATGATATGTCAAGAGCTTTGTAATGTTTTGAACTACTAATAAAAAAACATAAAAAAAAGAATGTATAATGAAGTTGTGACAAGATCAGGGTTAGCTCAACTAATTATTTTTTATCTTAATTAAATGTTCCACCACATTTCAGCAGTAAAAATTCAGCTGCATCATGATACTGGAAAAACACTGCTGAAATTTATTAGAAAGGGGAAAAGATGTTATATACAGAAACTATTGATTTTCAAATATTTACTTTTATATATCATACTTTCTTTTGGTTTAAAATATAATTAAATAATCAGCAAAATTGCACAATGAGAGAGATGCTAAAATGTATAATGGTTAGTTAATATTGAAGATATCTGAAGTTGACAGTTTTTTTTCTTAATGTAAGTAGCACAAGCTACTAATTCTGGGAGACTTATTAAACCCAAAGGTGCAAAAAAGTTATGTTTAATGTGTTTATAAGTAAACATATGTCATTTGTTTTCATGAAATATTTAGTATACTTTGTCCATGTAAAATCACCTCTCTGTAAGACAGAGGAAACTCTTAGCAGAATGGAATTGCAGAACTAAGATGTGATCAGAACCATAGCTGTCTTACAGACTGTTCAGCTTAGTGACCCAGGGACAATCTGGAGCAGATGACTGGCTGTGGATGACAGCCTCATATTAACCAAGCTTCAGATTGGCCATCTGATAATGGTAATTAAATAGTATCTACATTGTAAAGTTCTGTAAGGATTGAATAAGAATGTGATTGGCATTTAGTAATTTTTAGCTGTTAGAGAAACATTACTTTCAGCATAAAGCGAGATGATAATTGCAATTATATATTAGCCAAATGTCTCATGCTCTTGTGATGATCTTAGGTTTCGGGAATACAGAGCCATTGAAACTTTGGTGGGACTTTTAACCGATCAACCCGAAGAAGTACTTGTGAATGTGGTCGGGGCCTTGGGAGAATGCTGCCAAGAACATGAAAACCGAGTCATTGTCCGGAGATGTGGTGGCATTCAACCGCTTGTGAACCTCCTCGTTGGAATAAACCAGGCTCTTCTTGTGAATGTCACAAAGGCAGTTGGTGCTTGTGCGGTAGAGCCCGAGAGTATGGTGTAAGTGCACTTGGAGATGGAGAGATTTTATATGCTCATTTCAGGACACCTTTGTGTGGTCATAGAATAACATCATTGCTTAGAATTAATGTGCACAGATGATGAAAAGACAAAATATGTTATAAGTAATTACAGGTTTACTGAAGCATGACTTATTGAGCCAAAATGTTATTTTGGAAGAAATGTAGGGCAGGAATAGGCATTTGGGAGGATTTCCAATGACTGCTAATGAAATTCCCACGTGAAACCTTAATGCAATGAACATATTTCTGTCCTCCCAGAGAAGAATTATCTCTCTATATCTAACTAGGGTGCGTCTAGTTCTTGTAGTATGCTCATGGTATCTTACTACTTATTTCTTACTGATTCAGCAAACATATTTTGAGTACCTAACAAGAACTTTGAACTATGAAGGGAAAAGACAAAGGATTTTAAACTCTGATCTTAGTCCTCAAGCATATTGTTGTCTATACAGGAAGAAAAGACTTAAATGTGAATCAAAAATATTCAGAAACATAGTTGTATCTGTGCCAGGTGTAGTGGCGCATGCCTGTAATCCCAGTTATTCAGGAGGCTGAGGCAAGAGGATCACAAGTTTGAGGCCAGCCTCTGCAACTTAGTGAGACCCTGTCTCAAAATAAAAAAAATACAAATGGCTTGGGATGTAGTTCAGTAACAAAGTGCCCTTGGGTTCAATCCTGAGTGTCAAAATAATGATGTCGGTAATGATCATGATAATAATAATAATAATAGCTACAATAATTTCTCTTGTACTGAACAGTTACAGACTTTTTTTCTTTTCATTGTTCCCTAAACTATGTAATATAACAACTATTTACATTGCATTTAGGTATTGTAAAAAAAAATCTACAGATGGATATAAAGCACTTGAGAAGATATGCATAGTTTATATGCAAATACTGCACCATTTTATGTAAGGGACTTGAACATCTGTACTTGGGCTTCTTTGGATGACCTCAGAACCAATCCTACATGGATACCAAAGGACAATTACACATCTTTATCTATATTTGTCTATCTATCTATCTATCTATCTATCATAGGAATTGATTCTTGCAACTGTGAAATTTGGTGAGTCCAAAATCATTTGCAGTAGATTGGCAGACTGGAGACACAGAAAGGAGTTGCAGTTTGCTGGTCTAATCCTTTGCTCAGGGAAAGACACTCTTTGTTCTGTAAGACCTTCAACTGACTAGATGAGGCCCACCTGCATTATGGAGGGTCAACTACTTTATTAGCATCCACCACCTTAAATGTTAATTACAACCAAAAAGCACTTTCACAGAAACATCCTAAATAATGCTTGACCAAATATCTGTGCACTGTGATCCACCCAACTTGACACATAAAATTAACCACCACAAAACTATCATCCCTTGTCAATGTGACACCTACATGCATTTCTGTAAACCATATTTAATATTTAAATAAAGACTCCAACAAGGTCCTACTTCAGCCTCTCATGAAATAACTATTCGGTGCACAGCTGAAAATGCATGGACTGTTTCCCCAGAAGAATTCCTTGGGGGAGGTTTATTCTTTTCGATATTCCCTTACTTAAGGACTGTCATATTAAGTTGATAATACTTAGGATATAAAAGTAGTAAATCTCATGTTACCTGATGAGATATGTAAGTAAACACACATAAAATATTCATAATAAAGTGAGGAAGACCCTCTCATGATATTTACAATCCTCACTTCTATGGCTGATCACATGTTCATAGTTGGTATTTATTACCTTTTTCTACTGCCCAATCTGTTATCCCTTTTGCCCTAAGCAAGCACCTTACCTGATTGTGGTTCTTTCCCTGTGGGTGACCCAAATCTTTATTCCTGATTGGTCTGGACCATTAGTTGTCCTGCCTGGAGTGGGCTATTGTAGTTTTCCATTGATTTTAAGGTAATGGTAACACTAAGAGATGCCATAAAGGATCTCCTGTATTCCAGACTCACTCTTCCTTGTCTCTCAAGTATCATTCTAGTCAGTACCACCCCAGCCAGCACAGTAACTCTCTGCCTGATAACTTAGAGGTATGGGAATACAAAGTAACAATGTGGCAGTTTTAATTTCTAGTACAACAGAATCATACTTGTGTCTCCCAGTGGAAGAATTCTCCTTTGGAGAGAAAACCTCCAAGCCAGCAGATCATAAGGGTACAGGAATAGGAAATAAAAATTTTACTAGTGGGTAATTTCCTAGTGTCTTTCTATTTCCATCCCTGATTCCTGGATCACGATCCTGGTTGTGTTGTTTGCAGTCAGATAGCTCTATTGGTCTGATCTGTAAAATCCTACAAGTTTGATGATTTTTAAATTTTATCTCATCTCTGTCACCTTCGGTCTAAGATAGCAGCAGCATTTCTGTTGTTTGGATTTTGATTCAAGAGTATCTAATAATCTCTTTTATATATATATATATATATATATATATATATATATATATATATATATATAATGTTTTCAGTAAGTGTATTAGTCAGCTTTTTGTTTTTGTTACCATATGAAATACTGACATAGGCCACTTATGAAGAAAACGAGGATTATTTAGTTCACAGTTTTGGAAGCTAAATGTCCACATGGCATAGCGTGGGTTCTGTGGTGAGGGCTGCCCCTTGGCTGTTCATGGCACAGACAGCAATAGTGGTTGGAAAGGCATGCAGAACAAACAGCGATTACATTTGGAATCAGGAGCAGGGAGGAAGGAAAGGCTAGGCTTGCTCCTTTTATAATAACCCTCTTACAAGAACTTGAGGGGTTGCGTGGGAATTATCTCATGCCCCCAGTGAACTAAGGACCTCCCAGTAGGCCCTTCCTCTTAAAAGTTCCACCACCTCCCAATAGGGCCACCTTGGAACCAAGCCTTTTTCACACATGAACCTTTGGGGGGGATAGAATTATGTCATATCCAAATCACAGAATCCAGCCTCACCCTCAGATGTTTCAGACACTAAAGTATACACACATGATGTTGACTGGACTTATAAGACAATTTTCTAAGGTATTTATCTTTGTAAAACACATTATTCATTACATCCTGATAAGTGCATGTCAGAAGTGGATTTATGAATTTCTTTTGATCACTGTTTTTTTTTTCCATCTATTCATATTAGCCCTCAAATACCTCTGATTTGTTGGAACTGTTTCCTCCTCTGTGCTCTTGGTCCAGGTTCTGCCATCCTTTATCTGACATAGGTGCTGTTGAAAGCTCCTACCTGGTATCACCTCTCAGGCTCTTCCTTCTCTTTAAATACCTTACTACATGGCACTGAAACTTATTTTCCTAAATTACTATCTGGTCATTTTGTTTTCCGGATCCAAAGAATCTTCAGTGATTTCTGCTTTAAAAGCCATACCAGAACCTCCTTAGCGTGGTATTCAAAGCGTTTACCTTCTTATTCTACTTCTCCATTTCATCTTTTTCTGGTAAATGTTAATTGTCGGAAGTTATATGGTTCCTTGTTTATTCTCTTATTCATCAAACAAATAGTTATTGAGCATCTTTTATGTTAGCTTCTGGGGATGAAGGGTAATGAAAACAAAATTCCTGCTGTCTGGGAACTTCTGTTATCTTGTATATGCTTGGGGAGTGGGCGATACTATACAGTTATTTTCAGAGTGTCTTCAATACTGTGAAGATGAGAACCTACGTGGGAGGGGGTTACTTTAGCTTAAGTAGGCAGGAAAGTTTTCTCCAGAAGAGCGTTTAAACTAAGACCTGAAAGAAGGCAGCCTAAGAGAAAAACATTTCAGACAGGCGTAGCAAATACGAAGGCCCCGAGATGGGTTTAACTTCACCTGAGAAGTCACCTTAAGTTTTTTTTTTTTTAAATACCCTTCATATAGTATTTGTCATTATCTTCCTTATAGTAATATTTTTCTATATCACTTGATAGACTACTTCAAATGTCATTTTTTTATTCTCTTGGTGACTATTAAGTTCTTAATAAATATATTGACTTTCACTTATACAGATAGAACTTATTCTTGCAGAGCTCTTACATCTATTCTGCATCTCATTTTTAATGTTTTATACACAAGTCATTACTAGTTTATCTAGTTGGCAGCTAGAGGTAAATGTTACCATTATATTACTCTCCACAATAGACCTTCAACCTTTCTTAATATAGCTATTTTAAAGTGAGATATTAATTGACTTAAATTGAGTCCACTTAAGAAAACGAGAAAACAGCTATTCTTGTTTCTTATTCTGAACCTTAAAGAATCTGTTTTGAAATAGAAAAACAAAAATTTTAAAAATCATTAATAAAAAAACAGATCTCAAGGACCTTATGATTGAGTTTGTGAGACATACAAGTGAAAAGATAATTTTAAAATTGTAAAATAAATGATAAGAGGGCACTAAACAAATGCTTATAAGTAAATATACAAAACTCTGGAATTTTGTGAGAGGTATTACTTCTGGTTAATGGTATGAAAACTATGAAGGGGGAAAAAAAGAAAAAAAGAATAGAAAGCTACAAAAAGCTCAAGTGTTAAAAAGAACCCATATTCCTCCAAATACAGAAATGGACACAGCTCCAAGTCTTAGACTGTGAAACACACCATAGCAAAATGCTATGAATTATTGATCTATGTCATGCTGATAACTAGAATATGCCTCTTAAGATCTCAAGATTTTGCCCCAAATAAATGCCATAGTCCTCCATTGCATAGTTGACATTTTTTTTTCCACATAGAGAGCAGAGATTAAAGGGAAGTGAGTGGGCCTTTGAAGAGTGGAGAATTTCCCAACAGACACCCAGTTTTACGTTATAAAACATCAGGAGAAGTGGAACCTAAGGAAAAGTCATACGGATGTGTCATTTTATGTTGTTCATGACAGTCGTCTATCCCAAAGAGACTGCTGAAGTCACTCAGGAGTAAAAAGGGTGTGGGAGACAGTGGTTTCCAGATTGCAACACTGTCACTATAAACTTTTGGAGATTTGGAGTGGACCAGATTGACTCTTTAACTGC